CCTGGGTTGTAAATGCTGGGTGCAGGTGCAGCCCCTATGTGCCATGTCACCGTGGGTTGTAAATGCTGGGTGCAGGCGCAGCCCCTATGTGCCATGTCACCCTGGGTTGTAAATGCTGGGTGCAGGCGCAGCCCCTATGTGCCATGTCACCCTGGGTCGTAAATGCTATTTAACTGTCTCCCCTAGTTTGCCCTCCTCGCACCATGTCATTGACCTCTGTAGTCCTGCTCCTCCCACCACTAACTCCCACAGTCAGGATTGAAGTTCCTGGGAAAGTGTGGTGAGTTATGGAGAATAAAGAAGCCATATTTCTTTTGCAGACCAAAATTTCAGTGTGTTCAAGGTTGTTCCCTCAACCTGATATTATTACATACTTGATGTTATTGCAGTTTGAGAAATGAAGACATTGATACTCTGAGCAGCTGCGCTTCTTTTTGGGGGTCACAGTCAGAAAATGATGGGTCAGGTTTTAACCCGGAGTTTGGGCTTTCCTCTCTACTCCAGGTGAGTGGTGTTTTAGGGTCTCAGAAAGACACAAGGACTGAGGTCAGCTTGTTTAGGAAATTCACATGTTCTGACTCTGTAGAAAGGTTAGCTGACAGCCTCGGGGTGGGTGGCAACTTCCGCCAGATGAGCAGGAACGGATAGGTGGCTCATACTGGATTTGGTGGGTGGGGTATGTCTGACCAGGGTCCTTCTCTGCTTAAACCTTCCCATGGGTCCCACACCTGGCATTCAAGGCCCACTGAGACCTGGACCTTGGATGCTTCCTCAGCTTTACCCCTGCCTCTCTCCTAACCCACCCCTCCATGTTGTGCAGGTCCTCAGTGCTGTCCCCGCATCCAGACCTTTGCATAGGCTGATGACCTCTCTGCCTGGGACACCCTTCCTGCTTTCCCCTCTTCTCCTTCCTTTTATATTTTCAGCTCACTTTTTAGAACTCAGGATGTCCTTCCAGGAAGACTCTCCTGACCCTTAGACTGAGCTGGACCAGCCCCCTGGCTACCCACTGTCACAGCCATGTCACCTTGGGTTGTAAATGCCATTTAATTGTCTTCCCCAGTTAGCTGCCCTGGCGCCATGTCATTTATCTCCATGGTCCTAGAGCGCAGAGTCTGGCACAGAGACAGCTACAGTACAAATGAGCTTTCCTCTCCCATTAAGGTGGCTGTGATCTTCACAAAGCTTAGTTCATTCTGACTATTTGCAAAAGGGCCATACCTGCCTCTCTTCTTTCCTGCTTCTCTTGCTCACCCCTCCCACTCTTCCTCACACACTAGGCCACCCCCACATGCTCCCTGGAGCTGAGCAGGGAGCGGAGGGATGGAGCGGCCGAGAGAACAGCTCTGGATGTGGTCGTTGGCATCTATCATCTGGCACCTGCTGCTGGCGAGGCACCTCCTGCCTCCTATACATGGTGCCAGATGGCAACGTGCAGCCCATCATCCTTCTGGCCCTTGGGATTTCCTGAGCAGGCTTCAGTTTCCAAGCCCTGCCCCTTCCTGGAGAAGGTCCATCTTACCAGCTTACCTGGAGTCAGCTGGGACAAGAGCAGCAGCACAGTCAAAGTCAGCAGAAGGAGCTTCATGGCTCAAGACGGCCCGACGTGAAGCTGCAAGTCCGATGCCACAGCTAGCTGAGCTAGTGAGAGGGGGAGTGCCTGGCCTGTGGCGCGCTCCCTCAGCTGCCCATGGGTATGGCCTTCCCACTCTGAGTGGACACGCCTCCCCTCGTCATTTAGGTCAGCAGGCAGAGGGCAGCCATCAAGGTCCAGGGCCCAAGACTTAATACTACCTGTCCTTCCATGCAGCTCCAAACCGCCATCGGCTTACTGGTCTTGACCAGCAGCTTCCAACAAGCATCTAGGGAGGAGAGGCTGGCAGAGTGGAGACTTAGCTCTGGTGGCCACCCAGCCTCCTTCAGTGCAGCTGGATTTGCTCTGAGCAAATGAAGTGAAAGCAGACAAACACACAAACAAACAAACAAAACGTCAGCTGCAGTGGCTCACACCTGTAATCCCAGTTGGAGAGGCTGAGGTGGGTGGATCACCTGAGGTCAGGAGTTTGAGATCAGCCTGGCCAACCTGGTGAAATCCCATCTGAACTAAACGTACAAAAATTAGCCATGTGTGGCGGTGGACACCTGTAATTCCAGCTATTCAGGAGGCTGAGGCAGGAGAATCACTTGAACCTAGGAGGCGGAGACTGCAGTGAGCTAAGATGGCACCACTGCACTCCAGCCTGGGCAACAGAGTGAGACTCTATCATAAAAAAAAAAAAAAGGTCCAAGGCACATGCTTATAAGATGCCATCTCTTGAAGCGCTCTGGTTTTGTTGCTCCTGGCAAAGGCTCTTGCAGTCAGCAGACCAGGGCGACAACCTGCAACCTGACTACACCACAGGCTTGCCCATTTAGGTGCAGGTCTAATAGTTTGACTTTTCATCCTCCAAGGTCCACCCATATGAACGAGAATTAGATGGTGACCTTTCAACAACCATGCCCGGCTAATTTTTGTATGTTTTGTAGAGACAGGGTTTCCCTATGTTGGCCAGGCGGGTCTTAAACTCCTGACCTCAAGTGATCCCCTTCGCAAAGTGCTGGGATTATAGGTGTGAGCCACTTCACCCGGCTTTCTTTTTCTACTTCCCTTTCTGGGATGCCTTCTCCCAATGCCCAGCCACCATGAAGGCCCACAGGGACCAGAGACCATCAATCTCTGATCTCTGCACATGTCCCTGCCAATGGGCAGCCGTTCCATCCAACTTAGATATCTCCGAGGATAGGCAGCTCAGCCCCAGCCATCAGACTCCAGAGACATCAGAACACTGGTCCATCTCCAGGCCTCCCACCCAAACTGCCAGGCTTTTCTTACCTGTGCCTTGTATACCGCTTGTCTCCAGGAACTATAAACACTTTGGGAGGAGGACCTGAGCACGTACCACTGGTGCAGTCACTACCCATTATCTCACCTTATCCCATGCCCAGGGCCTCGAGTATCTCTGGGCAAGGCTGTGAGTGTGCCATGGGCAGGCCCGGGCCAGTCACAGTGCCTCCACCATCCCCAGACTCACTCTTTAAAATTCTTTGCAAATTGCCCTCCAAGTCCAGGGCCCACTGGTTGAGTTTACTGTCCCGGAACCCCCTTCAAAACCTGCAGCCCAGCAGTTTGAACTTCCAGGAGTCACAAGTGCTTCCGGAAGGAAAAGACCATGACTGTGATTCTCCTGTCCTGCTGTGCGCCCCCCTTTGCAGGTGGCCTCCGGATGGGGGTCATTGGGCTGTTTCTGTTTCAGGTGCTTCTGTACACGACTCTGCTGACTTCTGCTGTAAGTTTTTGTCCAGCTACGTGGGAGGCATCCAGGAGGGGGTCCCGACTCCTGCAGGTGGCCCCTCCCCTCCCCCCTCCCCAGGCTCCCATTCCTGTCCCTTCCTCTCAGGGCCTGTCCTCCCCACGCTGCTTCCTCCCTGACACTTGTTACAGAATAGAAAACCATTTTACTTGGAGACTTTTCATAGCACCGGGCCTCAAAACCATTGAGGGCAGCTGAGGCCATCCCACACCCAGGCTAGAAATCACTTTTCTGGGTAAGGAGGGAATGGATGGGCCCAGCTCCTTCCCAGGCCCATAGCAGGGGACAAACTGGGCCCTGGAGCTTCTCATAGAGACTGCCAGGCCTTCCTCTGGAGGCCTTGTCTGTTCATTCCTTGCTATCCTTGGGAACCAACCCATGAGGAGCCTGGCTTCACGCCTCGAATGTGGGTGCAGACTGGAATCCCACCCGACCCTGCCCACATATTTTAACCACATGCTAGGGTCTGTGAGAGAACCCAATTCCCAAACACGGGTCATCTTTCCTTCGATCCATGCACTTTGTTCGTGGTTCCCAATGGGAGTGATTTTGATCCCGCAGTATCAACGCAGGAAGCTTTAGCCATGTCTGGAGCTTTTAAAATTGTTTTTATTTTTTATGAGACGGAGTCTCGCCCTATTGCCCAGGCTGGAGTGCAGTGGGGCAATCTCGGTTCACTGCAATCTCTGTTCCCACCCCCCACCACCGCCAAGGTTTAAGCAATTCCCCTGCCTCAGCCTCCCTAGTAGCTGGGATAACAGGTGCATGCCGACACCCCCAGCTAATTTTTTGTATTTTACTAGAGACGGAGTTCCACGTGTTGCTCAGGCTGGTCTTGGACTCCTGAGCTCAGGCAATCCGCCTGCCTCAGGCTCCCAAAGTGCTGGGATTACAGGCATGAGCCACTGAGCTATTTTTGATTGCCACAAGCGATGACTGTAGGTGGCGTCTAGTGGAGCCAGGGATGCTGCCAAACGCCCTCCAGTGCACAGAACCATCCCCACAACAACCATGACCTGGCCCAAGGTGCCAACCAACCGTGCCAAGGTCAAGACCCCTGATTTAGTTCTTTCTCTCTGGCTGATCTGTCCCTGCACTGCAGACAGATGTGCCATTCCGGGCAAGGGATTCCTACTTAACCCTTCTCTGCCTGCGACATGAAAAACAAGCAGCTGCCTTGAAGATTAAGTGCGTTAAAATCCATAGAAAAAAGTGATGGAAACGTCTACAGCAGGGACCCCGCCTACACAGACACGACCCCCTTCTCTGCCACACCCACTTCCAGAGCCACCCTGGGTGCAGGGCTGAGGGAATAGCAGAGAATCCTAAGGCTGAAGCGTGGCCCCCACATTGGAAGGCCTGGCCCCCAGTCCCTCAAAACGGGCCTGATTGGAAGGTGGTTGGGAACATGGAGCAGGGCACTCTTGTTTTAAATGAAGCCCCCGGGGTGGGCCTGATCCCGACTGCCCCGGGTCCCCGTGGGGAGAGGGGACTCAGACCCGCAGAGGGCGGGCGGCCCAAGGGGGCCTAGGAGACGCCCGCTCCCAGCCCAGGAGGGGCCTGCGAAGGAACCAAACCCTGAGACACTCTGACCTCGGGCTTCCGAACCCTGAAAGGAGGAAACCAATGTCTGTGGGTGGAGCAGTTGGAGGCGCCCCGGCTCCGCTGCCCTGAGGCTGCGGCCCCGCAAACTCCTCCCCGTGGTGACAGAGCGGAGGGTCCCGCAAAAGCCCCGGGAGCTGCCCAGGGATCCCCTCGGAGCCGCGACCCAAGGGAGGGAGCGAGTCCCGCCGTCGGTCCCTCTGCCGGGTACCGGCACCGCAGCTTCCCCAGGAGGAGGGAGACGAGGCTGGAGGAGGCTGCGGGCGGGGCCCAGGGTGGGTTCCTAACGGCGGGGGGTTCCCAGAACTGACGCGGGGCGGGCGGAGGGACGGAGCCTCCGTGGGTCACCCCTAAAACCAGCCCACAGGAGGCAGTCCTAAGATGGGGGGCCTGCCCTGTGCTGCCCCCACCGGGTTCCATCAGGAGACCCCCTCCCGACCGACACTGAGACCCAGACGGAAGCCACCCGCTTCCTCATTCATTCAGTCACTCATTCACTCATTCTTCCCCGGAGATCCAGTGGAGAAGGGGGAACTCCGGCCGCTCGGCGGCTTCATGCGGCGGGGGGGAAGGACGCGGACCCTAAACATCTGGACGCTTCGCGGACCTGGCCGCGAAGCGGGTAAAGCGCGCGGGGGCGGTTCTGACAGCCCGGGGTGATTTCCCCTAGGAGGGTCCCCTAGGAGCGTCTTCGGTCTCATTCGCTCTCTCCCCTCCCCCGCCCCCAGACGGAGTCTCTCTGTCCTCCAGCCTGCAGTGCGATGGTGCGGTCTCGGCTCCCTGCACCCTCCGACTCCCGGGTACAAGCGATTCTCCCGCCTCACCTCCCGAGTAGCTGGGACTACAGGCACGTGCCACCACACCTGGCTAATTTTTTAATTTTTAGTAGAGACAGGATTTCACCATGTTGGCCAGGCTGGCTCGAACTCCTGACCTCGCGATCTGCCCGCCTCGCCTCCTGAAGTGCTGGGATTACAGGCGTGAGCCACCGCGCCCGGCCCTGTCTCATTCTCTTAAACCTTCTCCAGACTCCACTTCCTGTTTAGTGACCTTCCTTTGTAAAGGTCACAGTAAAATTCAGAGTACTCGTCCTGATGAGTAAGGGCCTGTGTGGTCTTACTGCTTGCTCTGCTGCTGCTTTTGGGAACCTGCCTATTTTTCAGGGACTCTGTGAAATGTTTCCTGATGTCCCCTCTTACATCATGTCTGAAATGTGCGAGAGGCACGGGGATGGTGTTTGCTTCAGAAATCCCAGAAGTCCCTTAAACAGATGTATGTTTTCTGCTTTTGTATCCTACAGAGATTTCAAATGGGAGTCTACAGAAATTTATACCCAAGTGATTTTCTCCGAACACAAAGCATCTGCCCAAATGTAAGATAATCCAGTTATTTTACTTCAAATTTGTATTTTTTTAAGTGTGAACTGAGATTGGTCATTTAAACTCTATATTTCCCAACTCCCAACTGTAGTAGTTACAATATTATCATTTTATAATTTCCTCTTTTTTTTAGTATGAAGCTTATCAGGAATGTGTCATTGATTTGTATGTGTATATGTACATGTGTATCATATATCATATGAACATATACGTGTGTATACCATATATCCATATATCCTGTTGAAATCACAGGATTTCTTTTCTTTTCTTTTGTTTGTTTGTTTCTTTCTTGAGACAGAGTCTAGCTCTGTTGCTCAGGCTGGAGTGCAGTGAAAGGATCTCTGCTCACTGCAATCTCTGCTTCCTGGGTTCAAGCGATTCTCCTGCCCCCACCTTACCAGTAGCTGGGATTACAGGTGCCCATCACCATACCTGGATAATTTTTGTATTTTTAGTAGAGACAGGGTTTCACCATGTTGGCCATGCTGGTCTTGAACTCCTGACGTCAGGCGATACACCCACCTTGGCCTCCCAAAGTGCTGGAATTACAGGTGTGAGCCACCACAGCCTCAATTTCATTCTTTTGTATGGCTGAATAATATTCTATTGTCAACTTATATCATATCTTCTTCCTTCAGCATCCACAAGTATTTAGCTTGTCTTTATATCTTGACAATTTTGAATATTGTTACAGTAAACCTGAGTGAGCAGATAATTCTTCAAGATGCTGCTTTTATTTCCTTCAGTTACATACACAAAAGTGGGATTGCTGCATTGTAGGGTAGGTTTGTTTTAAAAAAAATTTTAATACCTTCCCTCCTGGTTTTCATAACGACTCTACCAAGTTAGAACTTGGTTTTGTGCTTTGACTATACAAGAAGTAGGCCAAGAGGGACTGTGTTTTGCAAGGACCATATAGCATATTGGGTGCAGGTATCAGAGGAAGAGCCCTCTGACCCCAGCATGCAAAGAGAATTAGAATCTGATGAGGGCAGCCCTGAGAATCCTAAGGTGTAAACCCAATGAGTGTTACGCAGGTTGGGGATGAAAACCTAGAGTTCTAGGCATTCCATTTTCTGTGCCTTTTCAGCACCCAAAGAACCATAGTATATGAGGATTGAGTGATCCCTACAGCCCATCTACTCCAATCGGCTCATCGGTGAGACTGAAGCCCAGAGAGGGGAACTGACTCTCCCAAGGTCACACAGCCACAAACTGGCACAGCCAGGACAAGGAACTGAATATTTCAACTTGTCCTCTCTCTTACCTTTCAGGCCAAAATCCTTCCTGAGAGTGAGCATTGTAGGCATTCGGGCTTCCTCTCTTAGGCTGGAAATAATCCAATAGACACATTCTCCCTAAGATAGGAAAGAGCGTCCTTTCTTTACTCCTCAGCTCTCAAACTGGGAGTTGCATTTGAGAAAAAGGGAGCTTCCTTAATTTACATTAGAACCATGATAATGGTGGATTTCTAAATCAGAGAATATAGAGCTTTGTAGGGCATTAAAGATTGTGGATTTTTTTTTTTTCTAGTTGTGATATGGAGTCTTGGAGGATTTTTAAGCTGGGTTATAACAAGTGCTGACATGTATTTTAAAAAGTATCCTTCTGGGTGTTGTATGATTTATTCTTGCTGGTCCCTAAAAGATGATGGTGGACAAAGGGAGGTGTGTGAGCTCAGGGGTGTGGGGTCCACACTGTAGATGCAGGGGTATCGGGATGGTGACTGAGCATGAAAAAGGCAGGCTGTCCCAGAGCAAATTGTACCCGTGGGCAGCTAATGGCACGTGTGAGTGACACAATTCCCAGCTGATGAGAGGCAGCAGAGAGTCCTGAGCTCACCTCCATTTCCTGCCACTTCCCCTGAGCTGAGACTACTCTGTGGGCTACTTTGAAGTTATGAAGCCTTTTTTGGTAACTTTGGCTGTGCTACTGCTCTTCTTCCAAGTCATTTCAGGTAACCTAGACCTCTTCAGGGGAGGGGCTGGGAGTAGATAGTGGGTCTTGGTCACTGGAGGATGGGCTGACAGGGAGCAATGTTAAATAGCAATTGTCTGGAGGAAGAGGAAAGAGTCCCCGCATCCTGGTTTAGAACCTGCCTCACCATTTTCAAGTTCTGTGATGTCCCCAGCAAACTGCTTGGTGCCTATGAGTTTCAGTTTATCCATTTCTTAATTTAAAATAATAAATTAGGTTGAGGGATCAACATTGAAGACACTGAAATTTTGATGTACAACAAATGTAACTTTTGAAATTTTTTTGTAATTCATTTGAATGTTTCCAGGAATGCTCATCCTGCTCGTAGAAAAAGTGGGAGTTGAAAAGGGCACTGGGATGTACACAGCTTCAGAAGACAATTCTATTCATCTTTTTAGATTTAAAAGAGCCTCTCAGATGAGCTCATTCTGCTTTAAAATGTTCAGTCTTTCAGCGTTTCTACTTTCACCACCCCCTTCTTCTGCTTCTCAGAATGGCAGCTGGATTTAGGGGCCAGTGGACATGTCATTGCTTAGTTGAATAACTCGTTCATTCAGTAAATATTGTCAAATGTATTCCATGTACCAGGCACAGGTGTTAGAGATAGAGCAATGAAATCAACCAACTAACCAACCAACCAGCCAACCAATCAAAATCACTATCTTCTTGGAGCTTATGATTCTATCGGCGGAAGGAACAAGCAGAGTAAGCAGGGGATAGCAAGTATCAGGGGATGTGAGTTTGCAACTTAAAAAAGGGGCATCGAGGGAATGCCTCACTGAGAAAGTGACGTTGGAACAACGACTTGAAGGAAGTGAGCGGTGAGCCATGCAGATATGCTGGGAAGAACCTTCACGTATTAGCTGAACTCCTTATCAAAGAGATGCTTTCTGTCATCCATTTGGTTACCTTGGGGTTTAGAGAGTTCAGAGAGGAAGACAGGATGAATGCTTGAGTTTATCTTTGCTTAATCACTTTGAGAGATAATGAATTCGTTTTCCATCAGCCTCTGAGGTTGAGCCATTAGTTTTTCTTAAATATTATTTATTTTGAACCGATGATTCTAAGCAATGAGTTCAATCTATTGCAATTATTATCGCTATTGAAGTACAAATTGTCCTATTCTTGGCCAATAGGAGTCTCTTCAGTTTGGCTTGTAAGTCTTTCCGATACAACCGTATTAGTCTTTGACGGCTTTCTTGGTATCTGGTATGACAGGAGGTTTCAAAATCATCTTGTAATTTACTGCCCATAAGTGGCATCCACCATGTCTCCAAGAAGTCCTGTTTTTTTTTTTGTTTGTTTTGTTTTTTTTTGAGACGGAGTTTCGCTCTCCTTACCCAGGCTGGAGTGCAATGGCGCGATCTCAACTCACTGCAACCTCCGCCTCCTGGGTTCAGGCAATTCTCCTGCCTCAGCCTCCTGAGTAGCTGGGACTACAGGCGTGCACCACCATGCCCAGCTAATTTTTGTATTTTTAGTAGAGATGAGGTTTTACCATGTTGACCAGGATGGTCTCGATCTCTTGACCTCGTGATCCATCCGCCTCGGCCTCCCAAAGTGCTGGGATTACAGGCGTGAGCCACTGCGACCGGCTAAGTCCTGTTTTTTTAAAAAAAAGTTTACTGGGAGATAATATTTTAAGATTACAATATGGGTAGTAGGGATGCTAATTTCTTTTAGTCATTTTTCAGTGACCAGAGCTGGAAAAATTTTTATCTATCCACCCACCTGTCAACCATCTGTCTATTTTATCTATTTAAATATAAAATACTTGTAAGTTCATATTGGCATTTTCAATTCAAATTCAGAACTCAAATTCAGTATTTTCTTTTTCATACTAATAATTCTGGTTCTCAAGGTCACCGGGGACAATAGAATTAGAATATGCCATGATTACTCAATTGATTGATCTCTCATTACATACGCAATAGTCTTAGTAAAATAATACCAGTGCTATGATAATGTCATGATTACTCAAACTAGTTAAGCTGTCTGTATATATTCTCACCATTATTCTCTCATTTGTATGGTGTATTGTATCTATATTTGTTAGAACATATAGCCATTATGTACTTTACTCCGTCTTTAAAAATCCTCATTTTGGTCTACAAGTATCTTTATATTTAATATTCAGTTCTGTGTCAATGCTCCTCTCATTTGCTTATCTACAGCTCTTGTTCTATTAGATTCTTTAGAAAGGGCTCATGGGTTCCACTGGACATTTCCTGGGTTTGAGTACGGTGTTACACTCTATCACCACCCTAGATATCCAGAGGGGATGCCTCCTTCTCTACAGCCTCCTCCTTCTGTCTGGCCCTCTGTTAATCTTCTCAATCCAGGACTCATTTCCCCTCATGATTGAGATCAGCTCCTTTCTCTTTTCTTTTTGTAACGGGCATCATTGAAAAATGCTGGAATTTTCGTGGCTCCTGCCGTGACAAATGCCTGAAGAATGAAAAGGTCTGTGTTTTCTGAGAGAGTGGTAAACTGTGCTGTTTGAAGCCCAAGGACCAGCCACATTTACCCTATCTCACAATGAGTTAGTGCTTTAAAGTCTGAGGCCACAAAAACTAAGATAAACTTGCCCTGAGTCTGATGTTAGTAGATTCCTGAGCTTTATTAAAACATCTTTGGCTGACTTCTATGTTTGTCTCTTGGTATACCTGACCAAGCTCAATGAGAAAAAGTGTGGGTAAAGTTGTATATACATAAGAGGAAACTGGACCTTCTATGTGTTGGGCATTTGGGGTCCTTTTCCTTTCAATTTATTTATTTTTGTTTTAGAGAAGGAGTCTTGCTCTGTCACCCAGGCTGGAGTGAAGTATCATAATTATGAATCACCGCAGCCTTGAACTCTTGGGCTCAAGCAGCTCTCCTGCCTCAGCCTCCCGAGTAACTGGGACTAATGACTAGCTAATTTTATTTATTTATTTATTCTTTTGCAGATATGAGATCTGGCTTTGTCACACAGGCTGGTCTCAAACTTCTGGCCTCAAGCTTTCCTCTTGCCTCAGTCTTCCAAAGTGCTAGGATTATGGGCAGGAGCGACCACACGAAGAACTTTTCCTTTTTTGTGAAAAAGGAAATCTCATCTATTCCTTAATTATTTTTACAGCTTTATTAAGGTATAACTGACAAATAAAAATTATGCATATTTAAGGTATGCAACATGATGATTTGATATGCATATGCATTGTGAAATGATTGCCACAGTCAGGTGTCAATACATCCATCACTTCACATGGTTGCCAATTTGTTTACAATGTAGTGAAACACTTAAGATCTACTCTCTTAGCAACTCACAAGTATACAATATAGTTTTTTCTTTTTTTTCTTTTTGACAGAGTTTCACTCTTGTTGCCCAGGCTGGAGTGCAATGGCATGATCTCAGCTTACCACAACCTTCACCTCCCAGTTCAAGCAATTCTCCTGCCTCAGCCTCCAGAGTAGCTGGGATTACAGGCATGCGCCACCACACCTGGCTAATTTTGTAGTTTTAGTAGAGATGGAGTTTCTCCATATTGGTGAGGCCGGTCTCAAACTCCTAACCTCAGGTGATCCACCGACCTCGTCCTCCCCCAAAGTGCTGGGATTACAGGTGTGAGCCACTGTGCCCAGCCTACAGTATAATATTGTAAACTGTAGTCACTGCTGTGATTTGGATGTTTTTGTTCCCTCTAAAATTCATGCTGAAACACAATGCCCAATGCAACAGTAATAAAAGGTGTGACCTTTAGGAGGTGATTGGGTCATGAGGGCTTCATCCTCATGAAAGGGATTAGGTGTCCTTATAAAAGGACTTGACAGAAGCAGTTTACCCCATCTCACCCAGTGTGTCCCTTCCCCCATGTGAGGACACAGAGTTCCTACCCTCTGGGAGATGCAGCAACAAGGAACCATCTTGGAACCAGAGAAACTGGGCCTTCACCAGCCTTGATCTAGGACTTCCCAGTCTCCAGAACCATGAGAAATAAATTTCTCTTCTTTATAAATCATTCAGCCTCAGATATTTTGTTATAGCAGCACAAATGATCCTAGATAATCAACAAGCTTAACAGTTGATCTCCAGCACTTACTCATCTTATAACTGAAAGTTTGTATCCTTTGACCAACATCTCCCCATTTCCTCCATCTCTCAGGCCCTGGAAACCAGCATTTTATTCTTTGCTTCTGCAAATTCAACATTTTTAGACTCCATATATAAGTGAGATCATGCAGTATTTGTCATTTGGTAATTGGCTTATTTCCCTTAAGGTAATGTGTCCTCCAGGTTCATCTGTGTTGTCACAAATGGCAGGATTTCTTCATTTCTGTGGCTGAATAATACTTCATAGTGTAATATACTACATTTTCTTTTCTTTTTTTTTTATATTACATTTTCTTTATCCATCCATCCATAAACAGGGGTTTAGGCTGATTCCATAACTTGGCTAGCATGAATAATGAGGCAATGAGCATAGGAGTGCAACTATCTCTTCAACATACCGAATTCATCTCCTTTGGATGTCTATCCATGTGTTTGTCCGATCTCACAGTGCCATAAAGAAATACTTGAGACTCAGTAATTTATAAACAAAAGAGGTTTAATTGAATCACAGTTTTTCATGGCTGGGGAGGCCTCAGGAAACTTATAATCATGGTGGGAGGTGAAGGGGAAGCAAGGCACATCTTACATGACAGCCGGTGAGAGAGAGAGAGAGAGAGAGAGAGAGAGAGAGAGAGAGAGAGAGCGAGTTCGCTCACTGGGGCAGAGGGGAACTGCCAAACACTTTAAAAACCATGAGATCTTATTCAAACTCATGATCATGAGAACAGCATAGGGGAAACCATAATTCAATCACCTCCCACCAATTCCTTCCCTTAACATGTGGGGATTACAATTCAAGATGATATTTGGATGGGAACACAGAGTTTTACCATATCAACTCAGGATTCATAGGGTAATTACGTTTTTTAGTTTTTTGAGAAACATTCATATTGTTTTCCATAATGGCTGTACTAATTTACATTCCTACCAACAGCATGCCAGTGTTCTTTTTTCTTTATATCCTTGCCAACACTTGTTATCTTCCATTTTTTTGTTAATAGCCATTCTAGCAGGTGTAAAGTGATAACTCATAGCTTTAACTTGCATTTCCCTGATGATTTGTGATGTTTATGATTTTTTTTCATATACTTGTAGGCCATTCATATGTCTTCTTTTAAGAAATGTCTATTCAGGTCCTTTGCCTATTTTAAAATCAAGTTATTTATTTTCTAATAATTATTCTAATTATTTTCTAATTATTTCTAAAAAAATCTAATTATTGTCTAAGTTATTTATTTTCTAATATGAGTTTCCTTTATATATGTTGGGTATTAATGTCTTATCAGAGATGTGGACTGCCAAGATGGCGTGGTAGGAGCAAATCAGGATTGCAGCTCTCAGTGAAGACGCAGAGGGTGGGTTCAATCCGCATTTCCAGATGGATCTTTTTTGCCCACAGAACGGGGAAATTCCCAGGTATAGGAGAGACACAGGATGCCAGCGCAGCTGTTAAGGCTTGCACGGCCTGTTTCGGCTGGTGCCTCAGTGCAGCGGCACTCCGCACAGAATGCACTGGTCTGGATGTCCTGTTAAACCAGCAATCTGAGATTTGGGAGGGCAGATTAGCATATCCATCTGATTAAATGGGACTTGGACAGTGAGCCAGACCAGGAGATTACCGGGAAGAGACATTTGAGCCGGCGCAGTGGGTAGCTGCACGAGAAATCACACAGATCCCGGTGCCGTATCAGCAGCCGACTGAAACACCTGGGAGAAAGTCTACCATTAAATTAAAAAAAAAAAAAAAAAAAAAAAAGAGGGCTCTGAGGCAGGGTGCCAGGTGATCAGGCTCGGCGGGTCCCACTCACACAGGGACAAACAAAACGGCTATTTGAAACACTGGGGGTTGAGAGTTTTACTGCAGGCACAGCTGAACCCAGGACGGTGCAGCTTGGGACGGTGCAGCTCAGTGGGGGAGGGGCGTCCACCATTACTGAGGCATACCGCCCCTACTGAGGTACACTCCCATTGCTGACGCAGCCTGCCGTTGCCGAGGCAACCCGCCATAACAGAGAGACTCCGCCAACAGGGCGGAGCCCGCAGCAGCAGGGCAGAGCCTCGATAGGCAAATAGTGACTAGACTGCCTCCTAGCTGGGCAGGAAGGTGCAACGGATACTCACAAAGAAAGCTCTAACTCCCCGAGACAGAGCATCTGAGGAAAAAATGGGGTTTTATGAGTTCTGCTGCAGCAGACTTAAACGTACTGGCCTAACCGCCCTGAATGATCAATGGAGCTCATAGCTCAGCACTTGAGCTCCTATAAAGTACAGACTGTCTCCTCAAGCAGCTCCCTGACCCCTGTATATCCAAAGAGTCACCTCAGAAAAGGACTGATCGGACTGACATTTGGTGGGCATAATTCTGGGACAAAGATAGCAGAAGAAGAAACTGGTAGCACCCCTCACTGTTCTGCAGCTGCTACAGGTGTACCCCAGACAAGCAGGGCCTGGAGTGGACCTCAGCAGTCCTACAGCAGAGGGGCTAGACTGTTAGAAGGAAAACTAAGTAACAGAAATACTTCATCATCAACAATCTGGGCGCCCACTCAGAGACCCAATCGAAACGTCAGCAACTACTCAGACGACAGGTGGATAAACCCACAAAGATGGGAAGAAACCAGCGAAAAAGGAGGAAAACACCCGAAACCAAAACAGCTCACCTCCTACAAAGGACCAAAACTCCTCACCAGCAAGGGAACAAAGCTGGATGGAGAATGAGTGTGATGAAATGACGGAATCAGACTTCAGAAGGTGGGTAATGAGAAACTTCCGTGAGCTAAAAGAACATGTTCTAAATCAATGCAAAGAAACTATGAACCTTGAAAAAAGATTTGAGGAAATGATAACAAGAATGGACAACTTAGAGAGAAATATGAATGAATTGAAGGAGCTGAAAAACACAACACAAGAACTTTGCGAAGCATGCACAAGTTTCAACAGCCGAATTGACCAAGCAGAAGAGAGAATATCAGAAGTCGAAGATCAACTCAATGAAATAAAACGAGAAACCAAGATTAGAGAAAAAAGCGCAAAAAGGAATGAACAAAGTCTCCAAGAAATGTGGGACTATGTGAAGAGACGTAACCTATGTTTGATAGGTGTATCAGAATGTGACGAAGAGAATGAATCCAAGCTGGAAAATACTTTTCAGGATATTATTCAGGAAAATTTCCCCAACCTAGCAAGGCAGGTAACAGTCAAGTCCAGGAAATACAGAGAACACCTCAAAGATATTCCACAAGAAGAGCAACCCCAAGGCACATAATCATCAGATTCACCAGGGTTGAAATGAAGGAGAAAATTCTAAGGGCAGCCAGAGAGAAAGGTCGGGTTACCCGCAAAGGGAAGCTCATCAGACTCACAGCAGATCTCTCAGCAGAAATACTATAAGCCAGAAGAGAGTGGGGGCCAATATTCAACATCCTTAAAGAAAAGAACTTTCAACCAAGAATTTCATATCCAGCCAAACTGAGCTTCATAAGTGAAGGAAAAATAAAAGCCTTTGCAAACAAGCAAGTACTCAGAGATTTTGTCACCACCAGCCCTGCTTTATAAGAGCTCCTGAAAGAGGCACTACACATAGAAAGGAACAATCAGTACCAGCCATTCCAAAAACATACCAAATGCTAAAGAGCATCAACAAAATGAAGAATCTGCATCAACTAATGGGCAGAACAGCCAGCTAGCATCAAAATGGCAGTATCAAATTCACACATAACAATATTAACCCTAAATGTAAATGGGCTAAATGCACCAATCAAAAGACACAGACTGGCAAATTGGATAAAAAACCAAGACCCATCGGTGTGCTGTATCCAGGAAACCCATCTCACATGCAAGGATACACAAAGGCTCAAAATAAAGGGATGAAGGAAGATTTACCAAGCAAAGGGACAGCAAAAAAAAGCAGGAGTTGCAATTCTCATCTCTGATAAAATAGACTTTAAAGCAACAAAGATCAAAAGAGACAAAGAAGGTCATTACATAATGGTAAAAGGATCGATACAACAAGAGGAGCTAACGATCCTAAATATATATGGACCCAATACAGGAGCACCCAGATACATAAGGCAAGTTCTTAATGACTTACAAAGAGACTTAGACTCCCACACAATAATAGTGGGAGACTTTAACACTCCACTGTCAATATTAGACAGATCAACCAGACAGAAAATTAACAAGGATACCCAGGGCTTGAACTCAGACCTGGAGCAAGCAAACCTGATAGACATTTACAGAACTCTCCACCCCAAATCCACAGAATACACATTCTTCTCAGCACCACATCACACCTACTCTAAAATTGACCACATAATTAAAAGTAAAGCACTCCTCAGCAAATGTCAAACAACTGAAATCATAAGAAATAGTCTCTCAGACCATAGTGCAATCAAGCTAGAACTCAGAATTCAGAAATTAACTCAGAACCGCACAGCTTCATGGAAACTGAACAACTGGCTCTTCAATGTTGACTGGATAAACAATGAAATGAAGGCAGAAATAAAGAAGTTCTTCGAAACCAATGAGAACGAAGACACAACATGCCAGAACCTCTGGGACACATTTAAAGCAGTCTCTAGAGGAAAATATATAGCAATAAGTGCCCATATGAGGAGAATGGAGAGATCCAAAATTGACACATATTGTCAAAATTGAAAGAGCTAGAGGAGCAAGATCAAAAAAACTCAAAACCTAGCAGAAGACAAGAAATAACTAAGATCAGAGCAGAACTGAAGGAGATAGAGACAAGAAAAACCCTTCAAAAAATCAATAAATCCAAGAGCTGGTTTTTTGAAAAGATCAACAAAATAGACAGACCACTAGCCAGACTGATAAAAAAGGAAAGAGAGAACAACCAAATAGATGCAATAATAAACGATAAAGGGGAAATTACCACAGATTCCACAGAAATTCAAACCATCATCAGAGAATATTACAAACAACTCTATGCACATAAACTAGTAAACCTGGAAGAAATGGATAAATTCCTGGACACCTGTGTCCTCCCAAGCCTAAACCAGGAGGAAGCCGAAACTATGAATAGACCAATAACAAGGTCTGAAGTCGAGGCAGCAATTAAGAGCCTACCAATCAAAAAAAGCCCAGGTCCAGATGGGTTCACAGCCGAATTCTACCAGACACACAAAGAGGAGCTGGTACCATTCCTTCTAAAACTATTCCAAATAATCCAAAAAGAGGGAATCCTTCCGAAATCATTTTATGAGACCAACATCATCCTGATACCAAAACCCGGCAGAGACCCAACAAGAAAAGAAAACTTCAGGCCAATATCCATGATGAACATAGATGCAAAATCTTCAATAAAATACTGACAAACTGATTGCAACAGCACATCAAAAAACTTATCCATCATGATCAAGTAGGATTAATCCCGGGGATGCAAGGCTGGTTCAACATACGCAAGTCTATAAACGTAATTCACCACATAAACAGAACCAAAAACTAAAACCACATGATTATCTCAATTGACGCAGAGAAGGCCTTTGACAAAATTCAACAGCCCTTTATGCTAAAAACCCTCAATAAACTCGGTATTGACGGAACTCATCTCAAAGTAATAAAAGCTATTTACAACAAACCAACAGCCAATATTATACTGAATGGGCAAAAACTGGAAGCATTCCCTTTGAAATCTGGCACTAGACAAGGATGCCCTCTCTCACCACTCCTATTCAATATAGTACTGGAAGTTCTAGCCAGAGCAATCAGGCAAGAAAAAGAAATAAAAGGCATTCAAATAGGAAAGGTGGAAGCCATATTGTTTCTATTTGCAGACGACATGATAGCATACCTAGAAGACCCCGTCTCAGCCCAAAAACTCCCGAAACTGATAAGCAACTACAGCAAAGTCTCAGGATATAAAATCAATGTGCAAAAATCACAAGCATTCCTGTACACCAATAACAGACTTAAAGAGAGCCAAATCAAGGACAAACTGCCATTCACAATTGCTACAAAAAGAATAAAATACCTTGGAATACAACTCACAAGGAACGTAAGGGACCTCTTCAAGGAGAACTACAAACCACTGCTCAACGAAATAAGAGAGGACACAAACAGATGGAGAAACATTCCATGTTCATGGTTAGGAAGAATCAATATCGTGAAAATGGCTATACTGCCCAAAGTAATTTACAGAATCAATGCTATCCCCATCAAGCTACCAATGATCTTCTTCACAGAACTGGAAAAAAACCACCATGAACTTCATATGGAACCAAAAGAGAGCCCGCATAGCCAAGTCAATTCTAAGCAAAAAGAACACAGCAGGAGGCATCACACTACCAGACTTCAAACCATACTACAAGGCCACAGTAATCAAAACAGCATGGTACTGGTACCAAAACAGAGATATAGACCAATGGAACAGAACAGAGGCAACACGACATATCTACAACCATACAATCTTTGACAA